CAAGTAATCCCCCCCCCCCCCCCCCCCCCCCCCCTTTTTTTTTTTTTTTTTGAGAAGTCATGTTTGGTATCGATTAAAATCTAAATTTTAATCTCAATCAAAGTTAACAATTAATTTTAATAACATATTTCATGAAATCCTTAAATTTTTAACTTTTATCAAAATATACTAAAAATCTGATTTTAAACTTCCACCAAACGAGAGCAAAATTCTGAAAATAGATTCAAGTTACAAAAATAATCCTTTTCTTTACAATCTTATCTTATTCTGATATCACAATAAGTTTGAATTTTTTTTCTCTTTTCTCTTCCTCTACGCTTTCCTTTACACCTTTTATCAAAATCTTAACCCTTTTAATTTTTTAAAATTTGTCTATAATTTTTCCACAAATTATCACATCTACCGAAAATATTCACTTTCCAATCAAATTTTCAATTAATTAGAACCTAAATTTGCATTTTCTCCTATCTTATTTGTGTACATAGAATGTGTCTGAACTGATTATATCCAATTTAACTTATATTCAATGAATTATATTTATTTAATTGAATATTAGTTATATGTTTTTCCTTCTGATCACTAGAATTGATTGTTTATATTAAATACAATATAAATTTTTTTAAACATTAATATGCAATTTCTTGTATGAGCAAAATATTAATAAAATGACTGTTCGATATCAAATGGATGAAAATGATGATAAAAAAAAATTAATAAAGAAATATTTTTTAAATATAAATCTGATTTTTTGGGTCGAGTATAAATTATTCAAAAGCAAGAATAAAGTATCCGATTTGTACAGAGTTTGATTGTGCCCCCTAACTAAAAATTTCTGTGTCCATTGCCGCCTGTACCGATGTGTGGCGCCCACACATTGTCAGCGGAGCTATAAATTCCCCCTCCACATCAAGGACATCCCACGCATCTGTTTTATCGTTTGTTGCCTCGTTTGTATAAAAGCAGGGAAAACAATCTTATGCTAATGGTGTGATGGTGTTCAGTTCTCAATTCAGAATTGAGGCAAAGGAGTACGTAGCGCCTGTTTACTATTCAGGAGCAAATAAGGTATGACTTATGCAGGAGTTACGGCGAACTTACAAGCCTCGCAGAAAGCTGATTAGCGGGTACTATTGCACAAGGGCGGTTAATGAGAGTAGTGATCCACGCGAGCAAATCTCGAGACCTAGTAAGGAAGGACAAATAAAGGTGCATAAGTCCAGGGAAATGATTACAGAAGGCATATCTTATAGTTTTTTGAATAGCGTTGAAATAAGGGTTGCATCAAGGCATTGAAAAGAGAATTGAATGAATTAACTAAGTTAATGGATAGTGGGACTGTAGTGGGCTCCAGGAATACTTATTGCCGTAAGTGTAGGGTGGGCTTGGATGAGTATTCAGCCAATGGAAAAAATGTAGCAAACTTGGATTCTAAGGAGTTGACATCGAACTAGACCCACACTAAAGAGTTGCTGGTTGAACCAAGTGGATGCGAACTAGAGTGATGGAGGTTGGGCTATGGAAACGGAACTGAGTAAGTTGAGTATGAAGTTGGAGATACTGGAAGCAACCATAGACATGCTCTACAACTGTGGATGTATTGGACACAAGGCTAGTAAAGGTATTAGAGTTGGCAATGGAGGAAGATATCGAAATTGTATTGAGAGAAAGTCCAGCCTTGGGAGTTAAGAAACAGCATGGGACGACAAGCAATAACCTTCCGTTTTTATCACCTTGGTTTGAGTAAATCCCTTCGCTACAAGACGAGCCTTATACCTTTCTACTGTCTCATCAGCTCTGTACTTCACAGTAAACACCCATTTACAACCCACTGTTCTCTTTCCATGTGGTAAATTCATCACCTCCTAAGTTAATTTTTTTCAACGCCCTCATTTCCTCCATTACAACTTCTCTCCACTTAGGAATCTCCAATACCTTCCGGGATATTATTAGGAATTTTCACACTATCAAGGTTAGAAGTAAAAGCACGGTACTCTATGGACAGTGCATTGTAGGATACATATTTTGAAACTGGATAGAGAGTACATGAACGAGGTTGTTTTCTGAGTGGAATAGGTAAATCAATATCATTAGGTTTAGGAGTATTAGAGAGAGAGACTATTATCTAATTTAACCTACAGAAAGACTCTTGGTTGCCAGGAGCTGCCACCAATTCAGACTCAATTGGTACCTCAGGTGTGAGATTTTCATTAGATTTTGGCTCTCGTGAGTGAACTAGTATCTCTTTGTTCTATTTTTCTACACATTCCTTAAGTGTAAGCTTCTTTCTATAACCGACAAAGGAGTGGAGGATGATGATGGTGTGATGGAATCAGTGTTTGGGGAAAAATCAAAGAAGAGGTCACTAGCCAAGTGATTCAAGATTCGAGATTCACTTAAATTCTCCCCTTGAATTGAGGACTTCGAGTAGAAAGGAGTGGTTGCAAAGAATGTTACATCAAGACTAACAAAGGTGCAATGTGATATAGAATCATAGCACTTGTAACTTTTTTAGTAGGTGAATAACCAAGAGACACATTTTGTGGCCCGAAGTTCTAGTTTAGTTTGCAAGTGTGTATGGACATGTACAAATGCTGTACAACCAAAGATTTTTAGGGGAAGAGTAAAACTAAGTCGAGAGTGAGGAAATGCATCTTGAAATTTTTGACGAAGGTTATAAATGAAAGGACTCGACTAGGCATTCTGTTTATGATATAAGATGCAGTGAAAATAGCAACCCCCTAAAAAAAATTTAGCATGTTGGTAGTGGACATTAGGTCACGAGCTACATCAAGGATGTGTTTTTTTCGTTCGTTCAGCAATCCTATTTTGTTGAGGGATATCGACACATGAATATTCAGTACCATTGTCGGTACGTAAAACTTGTATTTTGGTGTTGAATTGCATTTGGATCATAGAGTAAAAATTGATTAAAATAGAACGGACTTCAATTTTATCTTTCAGTAAATATATCCAACAAAGTCATGTATGTTCATATATGAATGTAATAAACCATTTTATATGTGTTCGACTAGGAATACGAGGACCCCAAACATCACTGTGAATCATAGTTAATGGCTTAATGGGTCTATATGTAGACTTTGAAAAAGAAGCACGATGATACTTTGCAAGTTCACACATTTCACATTGAATATCAAGAGACAATTTATTGGAACAAAGAGCAGAAAATAAATGTCGCAAATACTAAAAATTAAGATGACCTATCCGAAAAAATAGAATCACGTGTAGTTTTGACACTAGTTACTGACTTTAGCCTGCTCAAACTAATGGAGTCCCTCACACTCTTTAGCACTGCCAATCATCGTCCTCAATGATAGGTCATGAAAGACACAATGAGAGAAGAAATTTCGCAGAGCAATTGGAAGTGTTTAGTCGGCTGACTTAGAGACAATAGATTACAAGATAATTTTGGAACATGGAGAATTGAGTTTAAAGTAATAAATTCGGAGATAAAGATACTTCCTTTGCTTGCAACAGGAGAAAGGGACCCATCTGCATTTTTTACTTTCATATTTCAAGTATATGGTGAACTCTATCACCACGATGAAGGTAGATGGGGTTACTTACGAGGACTCATAGGATATTGAAACCCAAATGATGACCTTCTACTAAAATATTTATTGGAAGCAGTTTGATTGGAGGCCAGTGTTGGAGGGGCTAGATTTTTCTACTATTAATAAAGAGAATGCCAACTAGCCAGAGAGTATTTGGGGAGGATGGATTAGAGAGGTGTTCAGTATGAATCACAATAAGGCCCTAGGACCAGATGAAGTCCCTTTCTCATTCTATGAGGCCTGCTGGGAAGTAATGCAACCAAACATTGTGTCCTTGTTTCTTTCAGTGTGGTTAAAGACTGAATTAAGAATTTTCTGTATTTCTTCATTGAATTATACAAACCTATTACACCCTATTTACAATACAAAAATAAAAATACAAAGAAAAAATAATCTTCTAATTTAGGATACAAAAAATTAGCCTAATAATCCTCCTAAATTATAAGAAGATTTAATCAATTATATATCAATCATGATTAATCATATATCAATCATGATTAATCTCTAGAATTCTACAGTAGCAGGTTCTTGAGAAGTTCTAATGCTATATTTATTGTGCTGATTTCAAAAAAAGGGGAGCGAAGGATATTAAGGACTTTCGTCCTAGCAGTTTAGTAAGTGGGGTATACAAAATTATTGAAAAAGTTCTGGCAAATAGATTAAAGGAGGTGTTAGGAAAAGTAGTGTCTTAAGTTTCTAAATGCTTTTGTTATAAGGCGCTAGATATTGAATTCCATAGTTAAAGCAAATGAATGCATTGACTTAAGACTGCACCTAGGGGTTTCAGGAATGTTATGTAAACTTGATATTCAGAAAGCCTATGATCACGTGAACTAGGGATTCCTTTTGTATATACTCAGGCAATGTAGCTTCCAGGATAAGTGGTGCAAGTGGATTCAGTTGTGTATCTCTACTGTTTCCTTTTTATTATTGGTGAACAACACTCCTAAGGTTATTTTCATAGTAGCAGAGGTTTGAGACAAGGGGATTCTTTGTCTCCATTGCCGTTTGTTATTTTTATCGAAGATTTCAGAAGGATGCTCAAGGTTGTAGCGAGGAGTTTGTTTGGGGGCTTCATGATTGATCAATTGCAGGAATCATATTTGTTATTTGCAAATGATACGCTGATATGTTGTGATGCAGATGTTAAGTAATTCAGGAACTCACGTTGTCTACTTTTATGCTTTGAAGTTGTATCTGGGTTGAAGATAAATCTAGAAAAATCTAAGGCTATAACGTGGGAGATGTCGATAACAAGGAGTTGGTTGATATATGAGGTTGTAGGGTTGCGCAGTTACCTATGTCATGGCCCCCCCTTAAGAGCATAGTTTAAAAGTATACATATTTGAAACGGTATTTAGGAAATAGTAGAAAGGAGGTCAGCGATTGGAAGCGTATGTACCTTTCAAATGAAGGCTATCTTATTCTCATTAAGTCCACTCTATCTAAATCTCCCTACCTTTTCTGGTCATTGTTTCCTATTCCTATTGCAGTGACAAAAAGATTAAAGAGGATTCAAAGGAAGTTTCTTTCGGAAAGTTTAAAGGATGAGAGGAAACTTCATTTGGTTAATAGGGGTGCAATTCGTTCTCCCATAAGGTTGGGAGGTCTCGAATTGAGAAGCCTTGTATTGTTTAATAAGGCATTGCTGTGTAAGTAGTTATAGCGATTCGGAGTGGAGAGGGAGAGTTCTGAAAAGAAATTATAGGGGTGAAATATGGTTTTATGGAGGAGAATGGTGCTTAGTCAAGGGTTTTAGTTCTTATAGAGTGAGATTGTGGCGGTATATCTGGCAAAGGTGGAGAGACTTTCGAAATAGATTGACTTTTGTGGTAGGAAATGGTAATACTATCAGTTTTGAGGAATGATTGTTGGTATGAAGATAAACCGCTAAGGGGTGAGATTTCCTTTGTATCGTATTGCTTTAATGCCGTCTGCTATGGTGAATAATCTCTTAGATATACATAACGGGTCTCAACTGGAACATTGTTTTTGGGTGGGGTTTACACGACTGAAAATTAGATGATTAAGCACTGCTTTTGACCTCTTTATATTATTTGCACATCAAGATAGGAGAGGGTGATTGTAACAAGTAGAGGTTGGGACCTTATTAGGATCTGTAGAGTGTTTATTAACTTCAAAGATGGTATGACAATGTAAATTGCCCTCATGGGTAGCATTTTACTATGGACAGTTGTGAGAGAATAGGTATTAGTGGTGGATAATCTCCAAATAACGGGTTTTTATGATATAGAATGGTGTTGTACGTGGAGGAGGGATGGAGAGACGATTGACCACTTGTTCCTTCAGTATGATGGTGCACGCTTGCTATGGACGGATATTCTGGCTTCTCAACACATGGATTGGATGTTGCCGCAGCGTATGTGAGATTTGTTAAAGGCATGAAGGAGAAAGTTTTGTAATAAGGACAATAAGCTTGTTTGAGGCCTTATTCTGAGTTGCATTGTATAGTGTGTATGGAGAGAGAAACAGTCACTATTTTGATGATCATACATGAACAATAGAACAGATTAGAGAATTATTTTATTTAACATTGTATACTTGTTTTAATGCTGCGGTTACTAATCATATAGACGGGCCGCCCAATTTCTTCTTGTTCTTTCTTTGTTTAAATTGATAATACACTTCCTATATATTATCTTTTGATTAATAAAATATATGATTACAGCAAAAAATACATACATACATATATGTGTGTGTATATACATATATATGTGTGTGTGTAATTATAAACAAAGTAATATACCTGTTTTTCAAGGGCAGTTGATCCATGCCGAAGATGTACATGAAGGTTATGTTTAACAGCCACACGTGCAAAGTTCTCATTATTCACAGCAGCAGCTCGCAAGTCAGTCAATCGCCCCGGAGGCAGTTCTGTGTACGTGAAGAACAAGTACCTTGTGATAAGATGGTCTAAGACTGCATCACCAACAAATTCCAGGCGTTGATAACAAGACACTCCAGAAGAAGGACGTGATGCATGAGTTATAGCTTCCACCAACAAGCCACGATCATTGAATTTGATGTTCAAGGCACCTTGTAATGCATCAAAGTCAACAGTCCTAAGTATATTTTCAGGGACATTACTGGGCTTAATTGCATGCTCTATCTCTTTCAAATTGAAATCTATATCAATCCCAATCCATTTCATAAGGTGGTTTGCAGCATTCTTTCCACCTTCAACATAATACACACCAATTAGAGCTTCCACAACATCTGCCAGCGTTTTGCTCGAGAGTACACGATATGAACTTGAGTCACTCTCAAGTTCACCGTCTTCCATTTCATCTTCTTCATACCCATCACCATTGTGGGCCTTCCCCCCTCCACCTTCCTGGGGACCAATATCCTGCTCAAATAATGAGGATCCTGCTTCCTTGGTGTCCTCATCAAAGACAGGTAGCACCCCAGGAGCAGCCCATCTAGATGGAGCAAATCGATCTGCCTGGATGTATGACTGAAGCCCCTTGTTCAATGCATATTGATAGAGTACCATGTTGCTTACCATTTGTTGTCTCATCCGAGTAAGCTGGCCTTCATGTTTCTGTGGATATTTCAGAAAAAGAAATCGACTAACGACCCATTTTAAATAAGCATCTCCTAAAAGTTCTGCTCTTTCATAGCAGAAAGTCTCTTGGCAAGAAGCTGCAGTCAATGCTTCCAAAATCTGGAAACAAAAAGGTTCACATATCAGCTACCATAATTTAGTAAATTTTCAAACATACTACACAGGAATTGATAATACCTTGGAAGCCGGAACAGGATAATTAATTATATCCTTAAGTTGTACAGCAAGCAACATGCTCTCTACCCTACGCATAATTGACGGCAATCTTTG